ACAATACACTTTACAATTACTTGAAGATACTGAATTTCTGGCATCCAAACCTACTTCGGTTCCTATGGATCCTCATGTAAAGCTCTCGGCTACAGATGGAGAACTCTTGACTGATGTTTCTCAGTATCATCGGCTCATAGGTCGGCTACTTTATCTCACACTCTCCAGGCCCGACATCACCTATGTTGTTCATCGCTTGAGCTAGTTTGTTTCCCAGCCTCGGTCTCCTCATTTACAAGCTATTCATCATCTCAAGCGTTATCTGAAAGCTCATCCAGGTCAGGGGTTATTTTTTTCTTCTTCATCTCCTATGCAACTTAAAGCTTTTTCTGATGCTGATTGGGGTTCTTGCCCGGACTCTCGCAAGTCAACCACTGGATTTTGTGTGTTCTTAGGGGATTCTTTAGTCTCCTGGAAGACAAAGAAGCAGCCAACCATTTCTCGTTCATCGGCTGAAGCTAAGTACCGAGCCTTAGCTGCCACTACAAGCGAGTTAGTGTGGTTAAAACAGTTGCTCACATATTTTTCTATTGTTCTCTCATCCTCTGCTCTTCTCTTTTGTGACAACCAGTCTGCAATTCATATTGCTTCTAATCCTACGTTTCATGAACGTACTAAACACATCAAGATTGATTGTCATTTTATTCGTGATCAAGTTACTGCAGGGTTTGTCAAACTTATGCCCATTCGGACACAGCATCAGTTAGCAGATCTTTTTACCAAAGCTTTACCAGCTATATCTTTCTTCTCTCTCTTGTCCAAGATGGCTGTCAAGGACATTTACAGTCCATCTTGAGGGGGAGTTTTAGGATAATCAAGTTGTGATGAGCTGGAACATTTTCTTGTAACGGTTTTTGTTTAAGTTGTTAGACTTTCTGTTGTAATGTTATTCTTGTTATTGATGCACTTCCTAATTATATAAAAGGAAGTACTCACTGTACAAAGCAAGTGAGAAATACACAATACATATTTTTCATTTCTTTTTCTCTTTCTTCTCCCGAGACAGTTTCAGTTTCAATAGCAAATATATCAACTAAGACTCTTATCAATAATGCGACACCAATTGTATTGTCACTCTTTTTTTTTTCCCCCACCACATGCAACAAGTCCCTTCTCACCACCATTTGTCTTTCTCAATATTGCAACAAAAGAAGGAAAAAAAGGAAAAAAAAAAGACACCCATGTTATTAATTTACTAGCATATTAGTCCTAAAATCCTACATTCTTTACATATAAGGGACGAGCTGCAAAATTGTTTATATAATGCAAAAACCAGATCAGATAAAACTCTACTATATAGGCTTGAATAAAATAGAGACGAGAAATCTTTGTGAAATATTCAATCTATAGCAAATAGCAAAAAATAAAAATAAAAAAAGGGCAAAGCAGAGATTGACATGGCGAACTATTTTGAGAGTTTTAGAAGTTACAGCTGAGCATAACATGCCACAAAAGCAAATGCTGTCATGTTGTTTAACATTACATGTGGCCATTATTATCTTTCTAAAAAAAAAAAAAAAAACAAAGTGGCCATATTCTCATCCTCTCTCATTTGTCCATAATTCGATCAAACCACCTAATATGGGTCAGATAAAATAATAAAGTTGGAAAAAGATTATCTTTCTTTTGGGCCATTAGAGCAAATGCATAGGTGTCTTTTGACAACGTTTTTATAGCTATCAAGAATTAGTACAATTACTGCTTTGCTTTCTTTTTCTCGTTTCATTCTATTATTTTTCTTTGTCCTTCAATTCGTCCTTCTAATGACTTGAAAAAGCTCAAATGATCATCCTTTTTTTTTAAAAAAAAAAAAGAAAAAGTGTAAAATTGTCTAAAAAAATCTATGACCTAGCTATTATTTTTGAGTAAATTAAGACATCGTTCGTTTCGCTGATTCGAGTTTAAAATTCGAGTTTTACTACAGTAAAAAGCTCTCACAAATAATCACATCTAACTTTAGTAAAAAGAAAATAGTTTAGTACTAGCAGTTATTTTGTATACATAATATAGTTTAGTGTAAGTGATCTTCAAATGGTCATCTTTGTTTGTTCTTTTTTATTTAAACATGTATAATCGAGTAGGAAAATCTATCAGCAAGCAATTATTTTCGATAAATAATATAGTTTAGTACTATTGAATTACGAGAACAAGATGTTAAAAAAAAAAAATAGATAATTTACGTAAGTGAATGTTCAAAAGACAATATGCTTATGATTTGCTTTACTTTTGCCGAACATGACAAATACAATTCGAAACAAAAACACGTCATTTTTATGTAATAGCTAAAAACCAATTACCTTGTTCATAATCGATCATAAATCCAAGACGTGATCAAGGTTAATTCCTAAAATAACCTCGTTACCCCATTTGCATTTACGGATGTGCCATTTTCACGAGCTTTGTCACTGTCCATGATAGTGCAGCTCGTGTTTAATCATTCTAAATAATGCATCTTGGAAAGAGAGAGAGATTGATCACGAAAAGATTCTAAATTACACAACAAAAACAATAGCGGCAAAACGCGTCAAATTTTTTTTTTTCCATTCTAAGAGTGACCCATGACAAATAATCGAATGACACATGTCCCAAACAGAGCATTAAGGGATTGTTCTTTTGTATTTTTGAGTTATAGTTCTCGTTCACTTCACATATTCGAGTTTTTAATTTGAGCTGAAATGTGACATTTTATGAGAGCTTTTCACTGTAGCAAAAAAAGTTAGATGTGACATTTTCTGAGAGCTTTTTACTGTAAAAACTTAGAACTGAAAACTCAAATCCATGAAATGAACGAGGCCATAGTTACTTGAGTAATGATCTTAAGTTGAGTTTAAGTTATAACTTGAGTTGAAGTTGTAACTTGAGTTTGTGTTTGGATGTGCACATTTGAGTTATGATTTGAATTAGAATATATTTGAATTTGTATTTGAGTGAATCAAAACTTAAATTTGTATTAAGATAGTATTTTAATAAAAATTTAATGGTGATAAAAAATTTTAATAGGGTATATGAGTGAGATTTTATTCGTCTTTTCGTTATAAATCATAGAAAAAAAATCATATTAATCAAAATTAAAATAAAAAAATTATAACATTTTTAAAAATAAAAAAAATACTGTTTATTAATTTAAATTTAAATTTATAAACCTAAATTTAAATTTTTCTTCAATTTTATTGGGGGGAAAAAAAAAAAACAACCCCTGAAAGCTACCACTCCTTGAGTAGAATAAAGTGCACAAACTTCTTTCTACATATCCATCCCATTTTCCAAACCTTTTTTTCACAGAGTCAGAGATCACTTTGCAGCCTTGGCATCCACCAATCAAGTAATTTTTTTCTGACTAATGACGTGGCCTCTTGATTTGGAGGTTTAATAATTAAAAAAATGGTAAAAAATTTAGTAACCAGGAAAAAAATAATGTGCGTGGGGTCAATTTCCTTCCTCTGGTTCCCATTGTATTTTTCAGTGCTAGACTGAGTCCTTTTAAGTGATTCTTCTTTGGAAGAGAACATAAATTTTTGGCGTTTGTTTTGAGTAATGCAAAGACAAATATTTAGAATGTTTATGTGTGAATGGACGGAACTACATAGAGGCTTATGTGGTCTGTGTTTTCACTCATTTTTTTATCTATTTAATTTTTATTTATAATTTTATATAATTTTATAAATGTGTCTTCATGAAAATATATTTTTTATAAAAAGTGTTTTTGTTTTTTTTTTTTTCTTGAACCCATGTCACTATTTTAAGTTATTAAATTAGTTTTCTTACTTAATCTCTTAAAAACTTACTATTCTTTTGGTTGAATAATCTTAACCAATATTTGATTTCTTTTTTTTAGTATCTACTCTTTTTCTTCCACGTTTTGTAAAAAGCTTTGTTTAATTTTAAATTAATACAGTTTTAACATACTTGGAGATTAGCTTTGATGTGTGTATTTATAATTTATTTCTTAAAGAAAATTATTAGTAACTATAAAGAAAAAAATAAAAATAATGAGAAATAAAAAAAAATTCTTATGAATGTCTCTACTGAAATAAAATTCTAGCTTTGTCCTATGCCTAAGGTTTTCTCTTGGGGCCCATCACTCAAATTAAATACAGTATTGATTACAGCTGGAGTTTATTTGCACTTAATGCAGATTATTTCTTTTAATTTTTTTTAAACATTTGGTGAATTTTAATAATACATTTGGTTCATATATTATAATCATGAGATTAGAATCATTTTCAATTTACGTGTATTTTTTTGAGAGAAAACACTATACCGAATCACGAATCATGATTCGAATCAGGGTACGAATCCCCCTCTAGGTGCTTTAAGTGATAGTATTTACGCGGTAACTAGGATGAGAGAGGAAATTTTATTCCTGCAATCTTTTATATGTTTGGTAATTACTTACTGGATTTATATAGCTAAGAAAAAGGGAAAAAGAACCACTTTTTTCCTGAGTCATTTACAATTGGGAAAAAAAAAGTTATCTCTTAAACTCTTGGATGAAATTACTAGCAACTTCAATACGTAATTTGTTTTCATATGGTTTAATTAAGCAGCATTATTATTATTGTTTTTATCTTCTTCCGTGCCTATGAATTTTGCTTTCTTGCCCATTCTCTCTCCATGCAACCTTCGTAAAAGTAAGCTTTCAAAACTCATTCATCTTCTTTATTTATTTATTTTTTCTACTTTTGACTTATTGGTATGATTACCAACATCATTTACAATTTTCTCAGTTCATTAACATGTTGTCTTATGGATGCCAATATCATTGTTAGTTTTTTTAATTATTGCTGGAAATACCATTATCGTTATTTCTTTTGTGCTTTAATTAATACCTTTTTAGTGATGTGTGTTTTTAGCTTTGTGCATTTTTTATGTCTAATTAATTAGTGCAGTCATTATTTATTCCTTAACTTACATGTACTTCGCAGCTTTGCAGGTGGATCAGTTAAAAAAAAAAAAAACTAAAAAAAAAGAAAAAGGAAAAAAAAAAAGTAAACTTTGTATTGTGAAGTGATCAAAGCCCAAACCCATTTGAAACCGCACGCACACAAACTCAGCTCACTCCAATATAAATTCCTCTCTACTTCCCAACAAACTCCCAACATTCTCACTTTGTAAAGGAAAAAATTTTAAAAAAAAAACAACAAAAGAAAAGAAAAATGAGAAATTTGCAGCGAAAACAAACCAGCCTTGTGACTCCTCTCTTTATCTTCTTCTCATCATTTCTTCTCAATGTAAGCCATCAAAAATCCAATCTTCCATTTCTTAATAAGTACTGATCTTTGATTTTTTCTCCTTTTCTGATTTCTTTTTTTCTTTTTTAATTCATAATATAAAAAATGCGTGCATTGTTTCCCCAATGCAGGTGGGTCTCGCTGTCGCCGGAGGAGAAGAGAATCCGTTCTCGCCGAAGGCCCATTTGATTCGATACTGGAACAAGGAGATCCGAAACGACATCGAGAAGCCGTCGTTTCTGCTCTCGAAGGCGTCGCCGTTGACCGCCGTTCAAACGGCCGTGTTTGCGAAGCTCGCGGCGCAGAACTCTCTCTCCACGCGCCTCCCGGAGTTCTGCTCCGCCGCACACCTCCTCTGCTTCCCGGATTTGGGCCCCAGTCTCGAGAGCCACGACAAGGACTCCAGCTTCTCCGGCTACGTCGACCGGAACTTCACCAACTACGGCACCGATCGCATCGGCGGCGCCGACGTCTTCAAGAACTACTCTCCCGAGGTGAACATCCCCGTCAACTCGTTCCGCAGCTACAGCAGACACTCCACCGGCCACGATGACAAATTCCACAACTACGCCTTCGAAGGGAACGTGGTGGACCAGAGTTTCAACACCTACGCGACGAAAACCACCGGTGGAGCCGGCGATTTCTCGAAGTACGCCGAGAGTGTGAACGTTCCGAATCTCCGATTCACTTCCTACTCCTTCCAGACCAACGGGAGGGAACAGAATTTCAAAGGATACAGCGTCAATGCCAACTCCGGTGACCAGTCCTTCTCGAACTACGGGAAGGACGGCAATGGCGCGGAGAATGATTTCAGCAGCTACGGGAACAGCTCCAATGTGATTGGCTCGGAGTTCTCGAGTTACCAGAGGACCTCCAATGGCGGACAGGACACGTTCACCGCCTACGCATTTGACGGAAATAACCCTCAGAACAATTTCAGGAACTACGGCGACGGAGCCAACGCGGCGGTGGAGAAATTCACGAGCTACAGAGATCAGTCCAATGTCGGCGACGACTCGTTCCAGTCCTACGCCAAGAACTCCAATGGCGAGGAGATCAAGTTCTCCAATTACGGAAAATCGTTCAACGAAGGTACAGACAAGTTCACGGGGTACGGCAAGGACGCGACGGGGCATTCGATCGGATTCAAGATCTACGGCGTCAACAACACCTTCAAGGAATACGCCGAGGACGGCGTGACCTTCTCGCGCTACACCAATGTGAGCTCTGGGCCGGAGGAATCGGCGAACAAACTGGCGTTCAGTGGCAGTTTGGTAAAAAGATGGGTGGAGCCGGGCAAATTCTTTAGGGAGTCGAAGCTGAAGAAGGGAGTGGTGATGCCAATGCCTGATATTAAAGATAAAATGCCAGAAAGGTCGTTTTTGCCCCGGGTAATCACGTCGAAATTACCATTTTCGACCTCGAAGGCGTCCGACCTGAAGAAGATCTTCCACGCCGCCGATAACTCGACCATGGAGAAGATTATTGTAGACACGCTGGCGGAGTGCGAGAGGGCTCCGAGCAGAGGGGAGACGAAACGCTGCGTTTCGTCTGTTGAGGACATGATCGACTTTGCCACGTCAGTGTTAGGGCGAAACGTCGTCGCTCGAACAACCGAGAGCGTCAGCGGGTCAAAGAAGAACATCATGATTGGTTCAGTCAAAGGAATCAACGGTGGGAAAGTCACACAATCCGTGTCGTGTCACCAGAGCTTGTTCCCTTACCTAGTGTATTACTGCCACTCTGTACCCAAGGTCCGGGTTTATACAGCGGATATACTTGACCCGAATTCCAAGGCCAAGATCAACCACGGAGTTGCCATCTGTCACTTGGACACCTCTGCATGGAGCCCCACCCACGGTGCCTTTCTCGCTTTGGGTTCAAAGCCGGGTCGGATTGAGGTTTGCCACTGGATTTTCGAGAATGATTTGACCTGGAGTGTTTCCGATTGATGGTATTGGGACCCACTTAGCTGTTTTTCTGATTTGGGTTCGAACCAAGGGCTTAAGAAAAGCGCAGCCTCTGGCTCGACCCCAAGTTGGTCCAAATTTAGTCATATTTAAGTAACGGGGCTTTTTGGTTTTTGATTGATTTCTTAGTCAATTACTCTACTTAATTATGGGGTTTTCTTTTTCCTTTCTTATTTTGACATTTTGAATATGCTTATGGTATATGATATTTGCAAATGTTTTATCTGGCTTCCTCAATAATAGGAAGGCCAGTCAATGCAAGAATGATTGAATCTATGATTAAGAGAGAGATATATATGAAATAGAAATAATATATTATTAATACGTATATTGTTTGCATACATTTTCTTAGTTTTTGCTTAATGTAGATTTAAATCAGAAAATTAATCTACGAAATTTAAAATAAAAAAAAAATTAGCACATTCTCCACGCGCACACACACAATAACATAATGGTTGAGTGGCCGAAAAATGACCATGAGGTGGTCCAAAAGGCCATCATAAGTGGGAATTGGAGAGTGAAATGCCATGCGACAGCTGTTACCCTATGGCTTTGCTCTTATTTTGTTTAATAGAATAATCCACACCACTTTGTGGCACGGTTCACATTTCGTCGTTCAATGCCAAAAATCCATTTTATTTCTCACTTTTTTGACATACTAGCGATTTTTTTGGCTTTAGATTTCCTTCCGTATACAAAACTCAAAAGTTCCTACAATGGCATTTCCCTTTGCATCTCAAAAGCACAAATTCACCTTGAAAGATACATCTCTTCTTGCAAAAGCAAACTCAAGGCTAGTCAATAAGCTTGAATTATACTCTCAAGCAAACAAGAGCTAAACTTTTGGGCCCAAAAAAAAAAAAAAAAAAAAAAATGGTCCCACTCTTTCATGGTTTGACTATAGTTGTCACCAGAAATTATGTAATATTTCTTCTGATAACTTCTGGTAAAGGTCTTTTTACAAATTTGTTTTATGCGTTGTCTGTATAATATAAAATGAAATTGCGTATGAACTATTTTAAAAAGAGCAAGTTGCTTAGTAGTTGTTATATTTATCTAAAACGTTCAAGCAAAAAAAAGATCCCAATTAGTAGTTGTTATATTTATCTAAAACTATCAAGCAAAAAAGATATGTGATGATCTAGAACTTCTCACTAGTACTACCAATTATTTTAAGATAATGTCTGTTAATCATTTTATGACCCACATTAGAAAATAAACGTAACTATATAATTAGAACAATGGTAGGCCTCATTTATTTCGCAAATTCGAGTTTTTAATTCGAGTTGAGATGTGACATTTTCTGAGAGTTTAACACTGTAGCAGAAAAAGTTATATGTGACATTTTATGAGAGCTTTTTACTGTAGAAACTTAAAACTCGAATCGGTAAAATGAACGAAGCCTTAGTATAATTTCCGCGACGACAAAGAAAGCAAGAGGACAACGGTCATGTTATCCTTGTTAGGTGCCAATCTTGATTAGCGAGGCAAAATACCAGTAATGGGTTACAAGAAACATACATAATTAGCTTTAGACCTGAAGATTGGATGCTCATTTTCAAGAAAGTCAAATCATGACCTAAATTTCATATATGGATATCATTTTTTTTTAAATTTCATAGGTGATATCATTGTCATCAGATCCTTATCGCAAATTTTTCTTCATGTTTGGTGAGAAAGTTATAACGTTAACACACTAATCCAGAAGTTTATACCACAAAATCTTGATCCAAATGATGTAACTAGCTCAATTATAGTGTTAATAATGTAATACCCACAACGTTCATTTTTAAAGATTCTCAAACAAACTACGGTCTGAGGAAATCCTCTGAAGTTAATAAGGATCTCACTTATAATTTCATGAAAATAAAGTTTTACATTAATTACGTCCCAAGCTGTCTTTCCGTTTTTTTTTTTTTTAATTTTTAATTTTGTTGGATCGCTATGTGTACAACACTCACTAGTCATTACTGTAGATCTTGGGCCTTTCAAGTTTACAATCTCCTTCATTTTAACGATTCTAATTTATAATTTAAATTTTATTATAATAAAAAATTTTAAAAAACAATCATATATTTAAATTAATAAACTAAATAGACATAAATTAAGGTCTTATTCACTTCGTTAATTCGAGTTTTTTTACAGTAAAAAGCTCTCATAAATAATCACATCTAATTTTTTTATTACAGTAAAAAGTTCTCACATAAAGTTACATCTAAACTCAAATTTTAAATTTGAATCAGCAAAGTAAACGGGCCTAATACTATCATCTTTTTCTAAAACGGCATTTTGTTGATCCATAAGGGAGCCATTTGCCTCGATATGAGTACATACCTCACATACTATTTCAACTACCCAAGTCCTTTGAATAACTTAAAACGCATTAATTACCAGTCCTCTTTCAAAATCTTCTGATTGATGTGTTTCAAGCGTTTACAATATGAATTCAATGACCATTGTCGGTCGTGAATAGTATCTTTACAGAAGGAAGAAGATTAAAGAATATGTTTTATTTTTGGTCTATTATCTCGAGGAATATAACACAACATTTATTTAATATTATAAAGATGTTACACGAATTAGTAGTAATAGATAAATTTTTCGTTATTATACTATTACAACATCATGTGTAATATCGTTGCATAGAATAAATGTGATATTTCATTTTATATTTCTACGTCTTATATCTGTAGTGTCGGAATAAAAAAAAAATTTAAATAAGAACATTAACAAAAATTATTAATTTGAGACACAAGCACATTGTTAAAACTTTTCTTGTAAAATTGAGACCCCACTCATATTAGTGTGGTGAATTGATTATATGTAGGTCAAGTCTTTCTTGAATGACTTAACATTTTTCAAGAAGAATAATAGCATCTTGAAAAAAAAAAATGTCCCAAAGTTTTCAAAATCAAAAGAATAATTGCCTCTTTTTTTTTTTCTTCTTTCCCTTTCTCTTTTCCTCCTTTTTACGTTGAAAAGAAAGAAGGTGCACCAATTACTAATGGTTTTACTTTAGAGCATGTGTCCATTGTGCAACGTTTCTATCACACGAAAGGGTGAGGTCATGACCCAAATACTATAAAATCTCCATCCGTTTTCTTCTTCGTATTTTGTATGACTTTTCTCTGTTTGGTTAAAGGCAGAAGAAACAGACTCACATTTAAAGTAGCTACTAAGGAGGCGTTTGGTATGCGAAAATCAATAAGAATCATATTTTCATAAAAGTGATAGAGGGTAATATGATTCTTAAGAATAATATATTATTGTGTTTGGTTTCATATAAGAATCTTTTTTAAATTCTCAAAAATATTACATTATTATGTTTAATTATTCGCATGGAAGATCCATAATAATAATAATAATAATAATAATATTATTATTATTATTATTATTAAAATAATAATAATAATAATAATATTATTATTATTATTATTATT